AGGAGGGATGCTAGTGAGGTGGTGTGAGGCATGTGCGGAGGCGGGGCGCGGCCAGGGTTGGGGGAGTGGGGGGAAGATGGGAGGGCACTGAGTGGAGCAGGGAGGACTTCCTGAGGAGGGGGCCCCTCTCAGCTCTGAGGCAGGCAGGGGGCTCTCTGACCTGAGGGTTTATTCTCAGGCTCCTGGGAACAGCAGCCACTGCCGCTGCAGAAACTGGAAGGGGAGGAAGTCTTCCTAAGGTGCAATTATCCACTCCAGAATAGTTCCAAGCCGAAAACCTGGTGCAGAGTAACACCAGCAGGAACTTGTACCTTATTAGTCACAAGTCCCAGGCTCGGCCAGGAGCCCGGAAACCCAGGATAAGTCATCAGGGATTACCCCCTCCTGGGGTACTTCACCGTCACCATGACGGCGCTGGCAGAGAAGGACTCGGGCTTGTATTGGTGTGGACTCTATGAATCTCCCCAGATCGACATTCTCAGAGCCATCCGTCTGACGGTCTCTCGGGGTGAGTCCTTCCCTCTGTCTGTGCTTCTCAGGTTCCCTGAACCACAGGAAGCTGATGCTGGAAAGGACCTAGTCAGGTGCCCCAGCCCCCGTGGCTGAACCCCGGGCCCCTTCCTGAGGTCGCCGCTGGTTACAGGCAGAACCAGAGCCAGAACTCAGACTGCCAGCTTCGGTGGGTTCTCCCTTCCCCAGCTCACACACGTCTCCGAACACTTGTTGTTGCTCACAGGGCTCCCTGCTGACTCCTACCCATCACCAAGCTGCCTCAGACTTGAGCGAGCCAGGCTTATGGGTCCATTCCGGGCACCCCTCCCACTGACCCTAATCCCACGTTCTCTCCAAGGGCTGTGCTTGAGGCGGGTCACAGGTCACTGTGAGGGCTCAGGGAATGCGGACAGGCAGGGGACAGCCACAGTGAGCAGATGTGGGATTCGGGGTGAGGCTGGCAGCTGCAGGGGCCGAGGGCTCAGAGGGCTTGGGTCCCACCCTGTACCTGCCTCTGATACTTGAGTGATATTCAGCCTCAGTGTGGGAAGTTTGAGGCTCCTCCTAACCCTGGGCCCTTCCCCCATATGCCTCCTGAAAGCTTCAGAGGTGCACAGCCCCCCTACATTTCCCCGTGATGGTCAAGGGTTAAATAGTACCTTCGAGACCCCTGCCTGGCTGTCTAGCCTGCCCAGCTGTTCGGTCAGCTGGGGGCCTGGCGCACACACATCAGCTGCTCGATCATTCTCGGCCCAAGCCTGGGCTCATTGCCCGCTGCATGTCGGGCACGGGGCTAGGCCCTGGAAGGGGAATGGGAACCCTGAGACATATAAATAAAAGGTTATGATGCAGGGAGTGGGAGGCATAATGGAGGCATGTTGGATGGAGACCCAGAGGAGGGAGGAGGCCAGGTTGCTGGTGAGGCCAGGAGTATGGACTTGCCTGCAGGACTCCCCAGAGGAGGTGACACTATAGCCCGGTGGGGGTGGGGGCAGTTGGGGTCGAGCAGGCTGGCAATGAGGGCAGTTAGGGTCTATTTCTCTTCTGAAGCCCTCACACAAGCCTCTAATGTTACTGCACAAGTCCCACCAACCATCCCCGGAGGAAAGGAGCTGAGCATGCCGCCTACCGTGGCCCTTTCGGAGCTGCAGGTGCTGGCTATTGTTCTGACTTGCGGATTCGTCCTGAACAAGGGCCTGGTGTTCTCAGTCCTGTTTGTCCTTCTCCGGAAAGCCAGGGCCTCAGGTGAGTGGGGGCCGAGCCGGGCTTGGGGTGGAAATGAATGAGGGGACCCAGATGGTAGCTGCAGACAAGAGCTCAGAGGTTCCCCAGAGCTTGCCCCCTGACTTTGCCCACTTCTTTGCCTAAGAGGCAGGTCCAGCCTGGAACCCTGTGAATGGCACTGGGCTGGGCTCACCAGGACAGGAAGACCTGGGGGTGGGAGTGGCCAGCATGGTTTTGGCTGCTCTGCAATCCAGTCTTTTCTTCAGAGGAGGGAGGCTGAAGCCGGGACTTGCATGGATGGATCACTTGCAAATGCTGTCTATTTCTCTCACTCCTCAGGCGAGCCAAACCCAGGGGAGCAGCAAAGTCACCCTTCCAGGAGCTGAAGGGCATGCTTTCCTCCCCTAGCAAACATCGCATTCGCTCTGTTCACCTAACGAGCTAACAAATAAACTGATATCTCAGGGAAGTAAAAGGCTTCAGAAACTTCTTTTGTGAGGTCTCTGCCCAGCCCCTTTCTTATTGAGAGAAACGTACTGAGTGGAAAGTGTGGGGAGCTGGGAGGAAGGAGACCCACTGAACTAATCAGAGGCCCAAGAAAATGACAAACTATCTTTTATAAAAAGTAAATACAACAATTGGGACTCAGAGGATCATCCAAATGAACCTGTGCTTGTTTCCTTGCTGCTGTTCAGATCTACTCTGCTGGGGCTTCTCTGGCCCTCCTCCGGCGAAGCCCATGACAAGACCCATCACATTCCTGGTCATTTTTTAAAAACATTTTATTTTTAAATTAAATTTATTGTGGTGACATTGGTAAATAAAATTATAAAGGTTTCATCTTCTGGTCATTTAAAAAAATAGACTATTTTTTAGAGCAGTTTTAGGTTCCCAGCAAAATTAAAGACACAGTACAGTTCCCATATGCCCCTGTCCCCACACGTGCACAGCCTCCCCGCTATCAGCATCCTAGTCCCTGCACACAGTCACCCATGGACGCACTTCACCGCTCATCTCGTTTTATGGAATTTATTTTTGTCCACCTCCATCCCCTGGCTGCATTTCCTACCCGTTGCCCCATAGGTATCCTCTTAATATAGTTAATGCATATGTCCTTTCACTCTACTTTCCATACATGTATTTACATTTGTGCCGCTCCTTGAAAACACATAGAAGTGATTCATGTGCTTTATTTTATAGGTATTTCCCTCTGAGCTTCTGGGAATGACTCTCAAAGCCACACTTTTCCATAAAAATGTGCACTCCCATGGAAAACTGTATTGTCTCTAGCACATTCTTCCTGGTTCTCTGATTCTGATTCAATGAGAACTATTTTATAACCAGAGGCCCAGTGCGTGAAATTCACACATGGGAGGCAAGGGGTCCCTCAGCCCTGCCTGTGTCCTCTCTCAATCCGGGACCCCTTAGGGGATGTTGGGCCTTAACTGGCAGTTGGACATCAGTCTCGAAATCTGGATGCTGCATGCACCAGTGACCATACTTTTCATACAGGTGAAAGGCATCTTGCTGTTGTATGGGCTGCTACATTTTTTTACCCTGATTATAAAAAGCAGTACATAACATGATCCTTCTGAGGCAGTAGTGCCCTTTTCCCCATCTTATGGGTGGAAAACTGGAGCAGAGAGAAGTTAAGTAATTGGCTTTGTCACACAGTTATAAGTGTCAGAATCAGGGCTGACCACAAAGTGTGCAAGCCAGAGTCCATGCATGTCATCACTGCATCATCCTGTTTCTTCAGTGTTAGAGTAGCTTTGCCAGGTTTGAATTTTTAAATCTAAGAGACTGTTCCCAATATATAGGGTCCCTAGGCCTGGCCAGCAATCGGGGCCATCTGTGTGGTTACTGGTGAGTGGAGTGATCAGGGGGGTGGCCCCGGTGGCACCTGCCTTGGCTGGTGGTGTGGCGCCACCCACTGGCCAGCCCAGCCCCCTGATTGCTGCCTCAGGTCACCTCCCTCTCAGGGGACAGTGCGCATCATCGCCACCAGTCATTCTGCCGGTTGTTCCACTGTTCAGTGATTTGCATATTAGGGTTTTATTTTATAGGATTCTGCAAATCATAGGTAATTGGTAGACATACACATTCTGTCTTTCTTCCTCTATTGTGGGAGGGACGAAAACCCCACACTGGTGAGTCTCCCCATGCAGTTCATGTCAACATTTCTTTACTCCATATAAGAACTTTTCATGTGTATTCTTAAGAAGGCTAAATGCTCAGCCGTCCAGCTGAGGGGAGTGGTGTGGGGTGGACAGCTGCCCTCTCCCCACCAGGACCCTGTGTCCTCAGCTGCCCTCTGCTCCCCTCAATCTTCCCCATGAAAGTGGGGAAGAAAGTCCCAGAGGCAGCAGGTCCCAGCGGCCGCCCTGGCGGAGGAGTAAGTGACTAAGAGCTGGGGGTCCCAGAGGCATCGGCAGCAGGGGCCCCAGAGCTGTCCAGCCCGCCCTGCGGCCATGTACCCTCTGACTGACCTCCCATGTGCCCTGGCCAGGCTGCTGATCCCTCAAGTCCTGGGAGCCAGCAGAGCCCACCCTCTCACCACTGCCAGCTGTCAGCCAGCCCCTCCTGGGACAGGTGTGAGGGGCAGCTGAGAGCCCCCCTCAGCAGCAGGACCAGCCTGAACCCAGACTGGGGTGCAGAGGCTGAACTCAGGACTGTCTCCCCCAGTCCCCACCTGGGCTCCAGGTCTGAGCTCTTGGAGGGAACTGAAGGCCCTTCAGAGTCCCCTGAAGGGGAGGCCACAGCTCAGTGACGATTGCCACACCCCTCACCCCCTCCCTGGGTGTCCTCCCCTGGGGTGAGAGGAGCCACCGTGACACAGGGAGAGAGATCAGGGCTCCCACAGCCCAGGACTGCCTGGTGAGGGTGGGCAGGGCCAATGGGGCAGATGAACCCAGGAGCCTGGCCCAGTAGCCTGCCATGTCTGCCTGCCTCACAGGCTCCTGGCTCTGACCTGGCCCCTCCTGCAGGGAAGGCGGGAGAATCCAGCTGCATTTGTCCCCTGAAGAAGGGTCTGCAGTCTGGACGGACTGGAGAACACGTGGGTCTAGATAGGACCTCCCAGGCGGAAGAGCAAAGGTCATGGTCAGGAGACCAACACAGCCAGGGCCTCAGTGGGGCCACTCCAAGATGGATATGGGGAGAGAAGGGGGGACTGAGGGCAATCCTATGGGACCATAGGGAGGAAGCACCTCTTCCCTGTGTCCAGGAGAGGGCGCCATAGCGGAGCCTCAACTTGAACTGGCTGGCCTGGTGCACACACACACACACACACACACACACACACACACTGACATCTGTCCTCCCCACCAGGAAGGTGTGGCTACCACCTGCTATGCAACTTGGAGGGAGTTGAACTCCCCTGGGGAAAACGGTTCCCCAGGAGCTCCCCTCCATGGACCCTGACAGCAGCCAGACTGCCCTGTCTCCTTGGAGGGCAGGCTGTCCCGTGGAGAGCGCTGCACAGGGCTCAGGACCGGGACCAGGGACCAGGGCTGCCACCTGTCCCGTGTGACCCTGTGCAACTCACTAACCCTCCCGGGCCTCAGTTTTCCTCTCCTGTGAAGGGGACACTCATTCCTACCTCAAGACTTTTCAGAATAAAACGAAACAACACAAACTTTATGCAACTGAGCACGTGCGTTGTGGTTGCTGGTCCTCATGTTCTTTTCAAGTTATAATACTGTGTGTCATATTCTATGTTTTCAAAGACTTCTGGACCCCATTTCTCTGTTTTGTCCTGGATTGTAAGGGGAAAGGGAGGGCAGAGGGGGACATGGTCCCCAGGTGGCGGGTGCAGGACCCAGGCAGAGGCCAGGGTGTGCCCTATTGTCAGGCAGGGTGGCCACCGTTTCTGTTTGCCCAGGATCAGGGCTCCTGGGCCAGGCAGATCCGCACACACTGCCCATCCGTAGAGCCTGCTCCCACAGGACCCCGTGGCAAGGAAGGACCCAGCACCTAGAGGAGGTTCACTCCCGGCCCCGGGTTCCCAGCTGCCAAGGGCCCGGTGGCCTCTTTGGAGCTCCAGGCCTCTGGGACATCCTCCCCCAGGTTCCAGCATCTCATTCCCATCTGCCTCTCCCACCCTTGTCCCCGAGCTCCAGGGGACCAGGTCCCAGCAGACCCAGGGCAGGGGTGCAGGCAGGGGCGGCTGCCTAAGGTGGTGAGAACCATGCTGAGATGGGCTACCCTGACACAGGTGACCTGTGGTGTGCAGGGGAAGGATGGACAAGGAAGCCCCGGCACCCCTGGCACATTCCGATGATTGAACTGAGGAGCCGGCAGGCAAGCTCGAGGCTCCCAGCTCTTACAACTGCTGCACACCATGGCTTCACTCTGGGTCAGGCAGTTGGTGGGCGGTTAGCCACCCCGCCCCCCTCCTGCAGGGCTGATGGACTCTCCCCAGTGCTGGGAGCAGGGAGGGTGGGAGGCCCTCCCCAGGTGACCCCTCCCAGGGCAGCCCACGCTCCTGCATGGGAAGCAGGAGACTAAGGTCCTGTAGGGCAGCCGTCCTCTGAGGGTGGCCAGAGCTTCCTGGTGGCGGAGGGCTGCTCCCACCCTTGCCTCCCAGCCTGGTCCCAGCACTGTGCCCCTCCCACCCCTCCGCCAGTCTCTGCCTCAGGAGTCTGCCCCTGCCAGCCCCACCGGCCACACTACCTGTGTGCAGGGCTCTCTGACTTGGTTGTCTGTCTAGTGCAGGGGTGGGCAAACTTTTTGACTGGAGGGCCACAATGGGTTCTTAAACTGGACCGGAGGGCCGGAACAAAAGCATGGATGGAGTGTTTGTGTGAACTAATATAAATTCAAAGTAAACATCATTACATAAAAGGGTACCCACGGCTGGTCTACTGAATATAAGCAGCCGTGACAATTGTTTTCCTGTTGCTCCTCTAATGACAGATTCTTTTCTTTTATATTTTAACTAGTGGCCCAGTGCATGGAATTTGTGCAGGGAGGAGGGAGTTCCATCAGCCCAGTCTGCACCCTTTCGAATTGGGGACCCTTTGGGGGATATCCGACTTCCAGTTTAGGCCCAGTCCCTAAATTGGCAGTTGGACATCCCTCTTGCAATCTGGGATCGCTGGCTCCTAACCACTCACTTGCCTGCCTGCCTGATTGCCCCTAACTGCCTCTGCCTGCCTGCCTGATTGCCCATAACCCCTCTGCCTACCTGCTTGATTGCCCTTAACTGCCTCTGCCTACCTGCCTGATCGCCCCTAATGCCCTTTCCTGCTGGCCTGATCTGGCCCCCAACTGCCTCTGCCTGCCTGATCACCCTAACTGCCTTCCCCTGCAGGCGTGATCTCGCCCCCAACTGCCCTCCTCTGCTGGCCAATTTGGTTCTGATTGGTTGATTTCTACCTCTGCCTGCCTGCCTGATTGCTCCTAACTGCCCTCCCCTGCCGGCCTGATCTCACCCCCAATTGCCCTCCCCTGCAGGTACAATGGGTACCTGGGGGAGGTGTGTGCTATTACTGGCTAGTGGGTCAAGGGTTAAATAATTGGGGGCAAGATCAGGCTGGCAGGGGAGAGCAGTTGGGGGCTGCCCCTTGTCTTGCTGGTGTTCCTGGCCTCTGGTAAGGGCAGAGGCGAGGGGAAGAGCCAGTCAACGTCCAAAGCTCTGCCTTCTGGCAGCCATTGGCTCCTCACAGTTCACCCAAATTTGGCTCTTATTGATCAGTTTCTATGCAGTCAGCGTCTCTGGGTCTATCAACGGGGCCTGATCAGAAAGGCAGGGCTGATCAGCAGCCCCAGTGGAGGCCTGGAGAGAAATGGAGGTGCAGCTGCTGGCCCTGCTGGGAGAGAAAGAGAGAGGCAAGTGCTGATCAACAGCTGCCACACAGGCTACAGATCAGACCCTGCTTCTCTCTTCAGGCCTCTCTCCAGGCAGGCCTGATTCGTAGCCCCCTCAGCAGTGAGTGCTGGATCGCCATGGCAACCCAGGCTGACTGCAGGACTGACTTCTGGTTGGTCGAGCCTCCGGTTGTGATGGACCCAGGGTTTTTATATATTACGATTTTTATTTTTCAGTTCCAGTTTGCATTCCGTGTGATTTTGTGTTGCTTTCAGGTGTACAGAATAGAGGTGGACAGTCACATACTTTACAAAGTGGTCCCCCAGCATGTCAGTGCCCCCCTGGCACCACACCCAGTGACTGCAATATTATTGGTGAGGTGCCCTGTTAGTCACATGTTTGTAAAGTACAAATTATTTTCTAAAAGCGCTTGGTTAGTATGGTCTTTCAGCAAATGCTTAAGGAGTGATGTTAGTGGCGGCTGGGAGCTGGGGACACAGCAGGCAGAGACCCCCTTTCTGCCCCCTCCTCCCCTCCTCCCCCACCCACCTCCTGGCCGCCCCGCCCCCACCCACTCACAAGGTCTGCTTTGCTCTCCCACTCTTGCCAGGGACCTGCCCTGCACTTCCTCCCCTGGAAATGACTACCCACCTCCTCCAGACCCTTCAGTCCCCACAGGACACCCCAATTCTCAGCAGCCTGGGAAGGAGGCCTCTGAGCACTGGGGCCTCCAGAGGATCCCCTGCCTCCATCACTCACCCACAGCCCTACTTTTCTTGGTGGCAAGAAGAAAGGTGAGGCGAGGACAGAGAGAAAGAGGGAGGAGGAATGGCTTCTTATTTCACCATCATTTCCTCTGGGGCTTTCACCAATTACCCCACACCCGCCCCTGGGAGGGAGCAGTGGGCAGGCTTGGCTCAGAGAGCCCCCAGCAAGGCCCAGAGGCAGAGGGACAGGGGCGGGTTCTGCATAGGCCCAGGCCTCCCTCCTCCCTGCCCCCTACCCCCCTGCAGTCTTTGCCTTCCTCAGCTCTTCTTCCCAGACAGGCTGGGTGGCTGCTGACCATGCCAGCTCTGGCGCCCTCTCCTCAGGGCGGCCGCTGCCACCCAGCACAGACAGAGGGCCATGGCCTGGGAGGCCCCGCACCTGCTGCCCCTTGTCCTGCTGGTGCTCCTGGCCTCAGGTGAGGGCAGAGGCGAGGGGAAGAGGAGGAGGGATGGCTAGTGAGGTGGTGTGAGGGGCGAGGCTGCCTGGGGGCACTGAGTGGAGCAGAGAGGACTTCCTGAGGAGGGGGCTGCTCTCAGCTCCATGGCAGCCAGTGGGGCTCCCTGACCCAAGGGTTTATTCTCAGGCTCCTTGGAACAGCAGCCACTGCTGCTTCGGAGACGGGAAGGGGAGGAAATCTCCGTAAGGTGCGATTATCCACCCCAGAATAGTTCAAAGACGAAAACCTGGTGCAGAGTAACACCAGCAGGAACTTGTACGTCATTAGTCACCCATCCCAGGCCCCTGACCCAGCCCGGGGACCCGAGATACGTCATCAGGGATTACCCCCAATCGGAGTACTTCATTGTCACCATGACTGCGCTCAGAGGGAAGGACTCGGGTTTGTATTGGTGTGGAATCTACGAATCTTCCCAGATCATTCATCTCAGAGCCATCCGTCTGGCGGTCTCTCAGGGTGAGTCCTTCCCTCTGTGTGTGCTTCTCAGGTTCCCTGAACCACAGGAAGCTGATGCTGGAAAGGACCTAATCAGGTCCCCCAGCCCCCGTGGCTGAACCCGGCCCCTTCCCAAGGTCCCCGCTGGTTATAGGCAGAACCAGCGCCAGAAGGACTGCTGGCTTCGGTGGGTTATACCTTTCCCAGCGCACACACTTCTCTGAACACTTGTTGTTTCTCACAGGACTCCCCGTGGACTGGGATTATCGGTCCCGGTTTATGGGTCCATTCCGGGTACCCCTCTCCCTAACCCTAATCCCAACCTTCTCTCCAAGGGCTGTGCTTGAGGCAGGTCACAGGTGACTGTTTGGGGCTCAGGGAATGCGGACAGGCAGGGGACAGACACAGTGAGCAGATGTGGGATTCGGGGTGAGGCTGGGAGCTGCAGGGACTGAGGGCTCAGAGGTCCTGGGTCCCACCCTGCACCCGCCCCTGATACATGAGTGATCTTCAGCCTCAGCTTGGGAAGCTTGAGGCTCCTCCTAACCCTGGGCACCTCCCCCATATGCCTCCTGAAAGCTTCAGAGGTACAAAGCCCCCCTACATTTCCCTGTGATGGTCAAGGGTTAAACAGTACCTTTGAAGACCTCTGCCTGGCTGCCGAGCCTGCCCAGCTGTTCGGTCAGCTGGGGGCCTGGTGCACACACATCTGCTGCTCAGTCATTCTCTGCCCAAGCCTGGGCTCATTTCCCACTGCATGCAGGGCACGGGGCTAGGCCCTGGAAGGGGAATGGGAACCCTGAGACATATGAATAAAAGGTTACGATGCAGGGTGGTGGGTGGCATAATGGAGGCATGTTGG